TACCTGTCGTAACAGGCAAAGCAAATAGCAACCCCCGCAGGGTCTGGGTACGTAGTAACTCACTGGTGAAGGGACAGACCACCTCAGTCCTGCTGAGATGTGGACTGCGGTGATCATGAGAAGCTGTCGATAGGAGGAGGAGGGTGATGAACGTGACCCACCGCTCAGGACTGGAAATGTAAGTGCCACAGAGCTACAGACACACGTGCTTCCTGGAGTCTCCGGCTGATTATTTGGAAGTTGATTGGTGAACATAGGAAACTAACCTTATACCCCATGTTTTAACATCTTGGGCTTTGGTAATTATACCTTGGAGACTTTTGTTTTTATCAAGTTGGCAAAATCAAACTTTGGTCGTTGGAGATGGGCCAGATCTCCATGCTGGAGGCGCTGGTGGAGCTCGGGGTCAGCTCTCTCCTCAGCCAAACCGCTGGGATCTGCTCCCTTTGTGCAGCAAATGGTGTTCACCCCTCTTTTTACTTCTACAGGGGAAGAAATATGAGCCACAGTGATGAAAAATAGTTTTACTGCCTTGAATTATCTTTCAAAAATCACTAACCAAAGTCTTTTTCTTTCTTAAAGCCTTTTCTTACCCTTATGAATCTTCACTGTTCACCGGACGTCCACACATTTCTGTGCAAAGCGTTTGTCCCTGCCTGCCTGGAGCAAGTCCACGTGATCCAGCCTTGCCGGAGCCTCTGTGAGAAGGTGTATTCCGACTGCAAGCAACTCATGGACACTTTTGGGATCGTGTGGCCCGAAGAGCTGCAGTGCGACAGGTAGGGTGCTCCTTCGGGGTCAGGTTGTGGAGGTGATGTTTTCAAACACAGCATATTTGATCTAGATTAGACTGGAAATCTTGACAATCTGTTTAAAAAAAACATTTTGTTGTAGTCTCCACAGCGGAGACACAACTGTTAACTGCATAGCAGTATTTTTTATTATTCATCAGCTGCATTTCACATAAGCAATTTTGATTCCAGTTACAATAATGTTCTGCAGCTGTAAGTGCTCTTCACTATTCAGATTTCCAGAGAAGCTTTTTTTCAACAAACACTTAAATTTAAATGAAGTATTAAATGTTACAGCATAGATTTCACTCTCTCATCTCTGAACTAGAGACAATAATGTGTACTTCACAGGGAGTTTATAAATAATTTGCTGATATATAAAGCACTCTATCTGAATGCACACACAGCACTAATCACTTAAATGAGCAAATTAAATTTTCTTTTACTTTCCCTGTGCTGCGTGCCAAATGTCTGCTTTTTTTTTCCACAAGGATTTCACCTTTTTCTCAGAGTATTTCAGGTCTTTGTTTCAGAGAGGACAGCTAATATTGTATCTGGGAAGCAAATGGGCGCTCTAAAATCTATAATGTAATAAATGTTATTTTAAACTTACACTTAAGCTCAGAAGGCATATAAATAAAAGTCCCATTTTTATGGGACACAAATGCTTACCGGTTTGACTTATGCATACAGAGTGTAGCCACAGTGCTAATCCTAGAGTATTAATTGTATGTGTAGCTCACCTGTTTTGTTCAGGTCAACCCTCGAGCAACAGAGTATTAAGCAATTTTTAAGCAAGCGCTATGGAGCTATAAAATTTGCAAAAATAGTGATTAGTTTCTGCTATACCTGTACCTATATATTAGTTTTTTCTTGACTCTTTCAGTTTGGTAGTTTTTGTAATACTGACATCAGCAGTGAAATATTAGAGTAACACAAAAAGTTGTAATTCCATAGCGTCATATACTGGGCATCAGTAAATCCTTGCTGCTGTCAGCCTTCATTCCATGTTCTTGATGGAAACTTATTGCTTAACCAGTTCATTTGACAATGCGTCTCCATCCATATACAGTTATCCCGATGGAAAAATCTACTGTAAATATTTTTATATGCGTACGTAAAGTTTTGATGCGGACTGAAACCATAAAAAAAATTGCAGTTTTGGTAGGAATTCGAACAGTATTTGAATATTCTTTTAAACTGGAAATAGAATCTTAAGTCTACTGTTTTTAATGTGCTACCTGATTTTAGTCTCACAAGTCATAGTTTGCATCATCTATAGAATTTAACAGTGCTTAGAAGAGTATTTTTTCTCACTTATAAAGAATCATAAATTGCAGGTGATAACGAGGGGTATTAAGATGTCTTCTGCTCTGTTAATTCATGTAGGCTGGTCAGTTGTGATGAGGCTGCTCCCGCCACTGCTGCCGTCACCGCGGACGCACACGGGACTCAGAAGACCCCGGGAGAGACGCGAAGGGATTACGGATTCTGGTGTCCACGACACCTACACACTTCCAATGGACAAGGCTACAAGTTCCTAGGAATTGATCAGTGTGCACCCCCGTGTCCCAATATGTACTTCAAAAATTATGAATTGGATGTTGCAAAGAGCTTCATTGGGATAGTGTCAATTTTTTGTCTTTGTGCTACTCTCTTCACATTCCTGACTTTTCTGATTGATGTGAAAAGGTTCAGATACCCAGAGAGACCCATCATATATTACTCGGTCTGTTACAGCATAGTTTCTCTCATGTACTTTATTGGGTTTTTACTTGGAAATAGAACTGCCTGTAACAAGGCAGATGATAAGTTAGAAGTTGGTGAAACGGTGGTTCTTGGCTCCCAGAACAAAGCCTGTACCGTCCTCTTCATGGTTTTGTATTTCTTCACTATGGCAGGAACTATCTGGTGGGTGATTCTCACCATCACTTGGTTCCTTGCAGCAGGAAGAAAATGGAGTTGCGAAGCCATTGCCCAAAAGGCCATGTGGTTCCACGCGGTCGCGTGGGGGATACCTGGCTTCCTAACTATTATGCTGCTTGCAATGAACAAAGTTGAAGGGGACAATATCAGCGGAGTTTGTTTCGTGGGGCTCTATGATCTGGATGCGTCTCTGTACTTTGTGCTTTTGCCGTTGTGCCTTTGTGTTTTTGTTGGTCTCTCTCTCCTTTTAGCCGGAATTATCTCTTTAAATCACGTGCGGCAAGTCATACAGCACGACGGCAGGAACCAAGAGAAGCTCAAGAAATTTATGATCCGAATTGGAGTTTTTAGTGGTTTATACTTGGTGCCGCTTGTGGCGCTTCTTGGGTGTTACGTCTATGAACTGGTGAATCGGAAAATCTGGGAAACAACATGGGTCTTCGACCACTGTAACCAGTACCATATCCCTTGTCCTTACCAGGCAAGTAACAGATTTCTTGATAATTAATACAGCAAGCTT